TCCGGGTGGGAAGTGGACATGAATGGAATCTTGACTCTCGGGACAAAAGGTGTCCGAATGTTTGCTATAGTTGTCGACGGCGAGGTCCCAGAAGGGTTCACACAAAACACGGTGCCGTTAGGTTTAGTTCCAGGTCGATCCGTACACATCACTGTAACACTGGCTCTGGTTCCAGGTCTATCCACACAGATAACTGTGCCATCGGCTCTGGTTCCAGGTCGATCCGTACACATCACTGTAACACTGGGTCTGGTTCCAGGTCGATCCACACAGATAACTGTACCATCGGCTCTGGTTCCAGGTCGATCCGTACACATCACTGTAACACTGGCTCTGGTTCCAGGTCTATCCACACAGATAACTGTACCATCGGCTCTGGTTCCAGGTCGATCCGTACACATCACTGTAACACTGGCTCTCGTTCCAGGTCTATCCACACAGATACCTGTACCATCGGCTTGTACACATCACTGTAACACTGGCTCTGGTTCCAGGTCTATCCACACAGATAGCTGTACCATCGGCTCTGGTTCCAGGTCGATCCATACACATCAGTGTAACACTGGCTCTGGTTCCAGGTCTATCCACACAGATAACTGTACCATCGGCTCTGGTTCCAGGTCGATCCGTACACATCACTGTAACACTGGCTCTAGTTCCAGGTCTATCCACACAGATAACTGTACCATCGGCTCTGGTTCCAGGTCAATCCGTACACATCACTGTAACACTGGCTCTGGTTCCAGATCTATCCACACAGATAACTGTACCATCGGCCCTGGTTCCAGGTCGATCCATACACATCCAGACCTGTTTACCCTCAAACTCTTAAAATCGTACAATATCATCACATAATCGTTCAATACATTCTCTTTATAGAAAAAAAAACGTGCAGTATGTATAATTTATTCACCTCAAAATCGTACATTGTACGCCAAAATCGTAAGAGTAAACAGGTCTGCACATCAGTGTAACACTGACTCTGGTTCCAGGTCTACCCACACAGATAACTTTACCATTGGCCCTGGTTCCAGGTCGATTCTTACAGATCACTATACCATTGGCTCTAGTTTCAGGTCTATCTAACATCAATTTACCGTTGGCTCTGGTTTCAGGTCTATCCATACACATCACTGTATACCGTTGGCTCTGGTTTTAGGTCGATTCTTACAGATCACTGTACCATTGGTAGGTCTATATATGTTAGGGTTATATGTTAGAGTTCATGAAATGCACAACCTCCAGCACTTTGGATGAATCGTAGGAGATTCTTCTATAGCTGAGCTGATCTACTTTAGGACACCCTTCTATAGCTCAGCTGATCTCACAGTCGGACACCCTTCCATAGCTGAGCTGATCTACTTTAGGACACCCGTCTATAACCCCGTTGATCCACTGCCAGGACACCCTTCTATCTAAATAAAGGATGGCCTAAAATTGAACCAGCTGTAAGAGAACAATCTCTCTATATTAACTATGTCAAATGGATTTCTGTTCTTAAGCAGTTCTTGGTTTCTCTACCTACTTGAACAGCATCTTTTAGTTGGTGTAGACAATGTTAATTCGAACATTTAAACAGTCTCTTTTCATTAAAAATATAATTCACTATAGATATATCACGTGTGCAATTTTTTTCTTATTCAATTTTAATATTTATTATTACTTTTTTTTTCAAAATGGAGGTTGGGTTGGTGGCCCTGGGCGCCAGTTTTAAGCTCTGCCCCAGGCACAGTTTTTCTTTACACGATCCTGCTTGTTACCACAAATATCCAATCTAGGCCATGTCTTGTGATTGTTATCGTTCAGGACAAAAGCGAAATACCATCACCATTTCTATTGCTCCCACTATACACCTTCCATAAGCCGTGAAATCCCCCCCCCCACCAACATCCTGTATGGCTTGGAGACCCCCCCCCCATTCTGTCATTAAAAAACGCCCTCGACTGTTCACAACTGGAAGTGCTTCCTTTCTTGTGTTACTGGAGCAGAAGGACTCTCTCTGCCGCGATGACCATTAGAACTCGAGGAATTTCACTGAAGCAGGGATTCTCAGAGTCTGCTCTCAAAACTATTCTTCTACTTAACAAGAAAAAAAAAATCAACAACCTTAACATTAAATGGATCCCGATGGCTCCGAAAATTGTATCTCATAAAATGTTGCGATAATCTTTGTTAATGTAACAGGCTCCAATAATAATAATAATAAAATTGATACGGGGATCGGAGGTTACGAGCACATTTAGAGAACCGTAATTGAAAGGATTTATATGATCCAGTAAGACAGTGGTTCTCAACCTTTCTAGTGCCGCGACCCCTTAATACTGTTTCTCGTGTCGTGGCGACCCTCAAGCCACACAACTATTTTCGTTGCTACTTCTGTAAGGATATGTTTTCAGATGGTCTTAGGCGACCCCTTATTCTATTCAAAACATACGTTTGTTATATTGTGATGAATTGAACAAAATTTCCATCTGGATGCTTTTTTTTTTTTTTTTTTTTTTTTTTTGACAACTTTTCCCCTTTGATTTTTTTTTTTTTTTTTTTTTTGTGGGTTGATCTAGATGAGCCCAGAATATTCACCCGAATTGGGTAAACTTGTGCACAATTGTAGACCTATCGAGCCAACTAAAATCGGCATGATTTTACCTTTGATCGCTCTATGCTACTCTATGGTAGCGTGACCAAACGTCCCGTAAAAACCGGATTGTACCGTTTTTTCACGATCGTACCCGGTGCCCCGAAAAAGTCTCTCGGGACGCCTAATTGTCCCGTTTCTAAAACCAAACATATTTCCACATATTAGAAAAGAAGGAGGTTTTAACAATGGCTGGGACAACAGCCAAATATCCTCAAATTAAATCCTAGACTAGAGAAATTTAATTTGTTGTGTAGCATTATGTTGTAAATATGTATAAATGAATAATTATTTACTGCAAAATTGTTTTTTTCGTTTATCTCATAGTTTAAATTAAATGAAAAAATTGAAGGTAAATTTAAAAACAGATTTCTAGGTGTCAAAATAGTTAAAATGAGCATATTTCAATAAACAGTTTCCGGCGGAGACCCCCCGGCCCCTTTTTAGGTTTAGCTGAAAAGGTACCCCCCCCCCCAAACAAAAAAACAACAACAAAAAAAAAACAAAAAAACAACAACCTTCCTTGGGTGTGTCCCGTTTTTTTCCATTTCATGATTTGGACACCCTACTCTATGGGTATGTTAGTCTGTTGTTTAAAACTCAATAAGCGGGTGATGATGCTTAAGAAGAACAATATTTGTGGTATGGTGAATTATACTTAAAATGTAAGTGCACATAGTAGTATTCTCAACATTTCACCCGAGCCCATATAAACAACATAGAGGTTCTACTACCGGTACTACTACTACGTGGCTGACATCATTTGGGATTTAAACCTTGGTTAACTGGGTCCAGTGCAGTGTAATTGTTTTTGATGGATTGTATGCACTATGGCATCATTATCATTATGGTGGCTGTTTATTTTAGCTGTTACTTTAAGCTCTAGGCACAAACTGAATTACCTGTGTAACAGCAGGTAGCCATCTCAGGTGTGGGGCGAGGAACACCCCACCCCCTTTTCCCCTAAAAAAAAAAAGGCACCAGCTGCTCAGGGATGGTCCAGGTAATTCTTCTTGTGTATTGCATCTCATCGTGACCCTTGTCAAAGGTCACTCTCACCTCGACCTCTTGACCCTGCAGGCGTGCCACACCCACTGTGATGGTCATCATTTCCATTGAAATTTGTCCTGTCCAAGGTGGACAATGGCTATCCATTTCTATAGAGGGAAGAGGGGGAAAAATTGTCTTTTAAATATGAAAGATGTGGTACCAGTAGAAGAAATCAGAAAATAATTGATTGTGGGGGAGATGGGGTATTGTGTGTGTATGTTGGGGATGGGATAGGACTAAGTTTAAAAAAAAAAAATGATGGTTAATGAAGGAATAATAACAGTTTTATTCATTTAAAAAAGATATTTTTGGTTATTTTCCCGAAATTTACAAAAGTTTTATAAGAATTACCTAAGTTTAAAGCACAGAAAATAAAATAATTTATCTAGATTCATTGTCATCACTATAAATAACAGGTGAATGCAATCCAAGAATACTTATACAAAGCAAAGATATCAAATATTATTGTAGGGTTTGTAAGGTATAAAATTACCTAAGTTTAAAGCACAGAAAATAAAATAATTTATCTAGATTCATTGTCATCACTATAAATAACAGGTTAATGCAATCCAAGAATACTTATACAAAGCAGAGATATCAAATATTATTGTAGGGTTTGTAAGGTATAAACTTCAAAAAAATGAGCTATACATTTGATGGGTTCTACGCAGTTTAAAATGCGATATGGATTTAACGTTTTTTTTTTTTTTCTATTGCAATTTTTGGTGTAGTGAATGTGGCACCACTACCACCTTAAAAGTAATATTGGAAACATCAATGATATGAGCTAGAATTATATCCAAAGTACCTGTAATTATTGTGTTAAAGCATGGCTAGACGTACGCTTTTAAAATAGGCAGATCCATTGACTACTTTGTTTTCTTCATTAAAGTATCATCAACCAGCCCCCCTGTTTTTTTGTGTAAAGTTTCTTCCTCCCTTTTCCAACATAATTAATTAAAATTTCCTCAAGTAAATCGTTAGAACTTTGCACACTGTTATTATATTTGCCTGGTGCTAGACTTAAATATTTACAAATACTTTAAATAGAATTTAAAAGATGTTGCAAACTTTGTAAGTATATTTATGTAGCTTTCCTCAACTCTTGTCTAGGTTTTCAAAAAAAGGGGCCACAACTAAGAAATCGTAAAACTCAGTAGGGAAGGTAGAGTTAGTTTAGTACGAAATTACATACTCAACTCGGATAAAAATTGTTTAATCTCTAATCATCTTTAAATTACATATCAATGCAACAATTATAGACATAAACAAATTAAAATCATTTTAAAGCAAAGTAAAATCAAATTTAATAACCGTTGACCACAATTACGTCAGATGTTTCTGTTAAGAGTTCTTTTGTAATGAAAAACAATAAAGTTGAATCAGGGGACACCATTCTACATAAATAATAATTCAGAAATTCATATTGAAAAGTCCTTCATTCCCATTGAATGATTTCATATTCGTACATAATCATTACGTTTTATTTTAATTTTGTAACATTTTTTTGTAATGTCAAGTTCTTCCTTAAATAAATTAATTAAAGTTGCTTTAGTGGGAGGTGTAGTTGTTTTAGGAGCCACAACATGGATGGAGAGCAAATTACAAAGTAAAATAATTTTTGATTTATCACTATAAATTGCTATGTATGAATTTATTATATTGTATATTATATTATTACATTAAATTAACTTTTAATAACATTATCTCATTAAATTTTGGTAATTTTTAGATGTTCATTATAATTATATGTATAATAAATTGGTTTGAGTACAGCCCTTAAACTTAAAAGGCAGCGACTATTCGGAGCCGGGTATCAGAAGTGAGATTTTGGGTTTATAAAAAAATATTTCAAATATTATTATTGTAGGGTTTGTAAGACAAAATTAGGTATCAAATGAAAGATAATTGAATGGACTATATTTTTGTAAACTCACTTCTTCACTCTTAACTAAAATAAGCTACCACAAATGACATCCGAATAGCCTTTAGTCTAAAGCAGTAGTTCTTAACCTGGGTTCGATGAGTCAGTCTCAGGGGTTCGGCAGAGGTCCAAAAAAAATTAGGAAATAAAATCATATTTTATTTTTCCTATTAAGAAAGGTTCGGTGAATGCACATATGAAACTGGTGGGGCTCGGTACCTTCAAAAAGGTTAAGAACCACTGGTCTAAAGGGACCAGGACACGCATAGCCACTATTTGGACCCAATAATAATATTTTAAATATTTTTTTAATCCCAACCTCTCACTTCTGGGACCCGGGTCCGAATAGCCACCTCAAACTTAAAAATGCTAATATTACTAATAATATTGTCAAAAATGTTATTATCACTAAAGTTTTTAGCCAAATTCATTGCTAAACAGTAATGCAAAAATTTTAAAAAAAGGAAATATCTGGACCTTATATGTTTAGAATATTATTTTTTGAATGTTACATAATTGATGAATATTAGCCAGTTTCACATTGGTGTATAACAATGGCCTTCATTTTTTTCCTACTACAGGTAATTTCAGAAAGCAAGGATACTACACTAAAGCCGTTAAATTGTTACATAACTATGAGCCTGCTTCACAGTTCCTGGGACACCCTCTTTATAGTGGTAAAGTACATTTAGCAGATGAATCAAAGCTAAAAGTAGAAGGAACAACAGCGAAGGTAAGTCTCTGGGTGACATAACAGAGATTGAAAGTTGGTTAAAGTAAGGGATGATATTTTTGGTTGAGTTGCAAGTATCAATAATTATGAAATTCACTAATTCATGGAGGATGCCAACTAACTACCATTATCAAGGAATATTGACCCCCCCCCCCCCCCCCTTCCCCCCCCCCTGTCAGTTATTTATATTACAGAATAATTTAGGTAATTGTTTCATTTGCTAGAGCAAACTTCATACTATTGTGCTGCATATTTTTTAAAAAATCTGGTAACCCCACTTATTAAAAAAAAATCTAATGCATCCATGAATGACAATGACATCACACTATTTTGGTAGATTTTTAGCCCCGCTCCACCATCATCACAAAATTTAGACATCCACATAATTGATTTTCACAAATTTGTTAACCCCCTGCCTCCCTATTTGCAGGACATCTTTTACATATGCAATTCATCTGCGTTTAAATAGATTACCCCAATTATTTCTTTTTTAAAGTGGAGGGGGTGGAGTTAACTATTTGGCACCACTAGTTTTACAATGGTTGTGCTAAAAATTTTATTTTAAATAACTACATTTTAAAACAATAAGTCATATGAAATTACAATGCTGTGTAATCATAGAAATCGATCACAATTTTGTATGTTGAAATATGACGTAACACTGTAGATAATGATTTAATTTTCACAGTTGGAAATACCACTGAAAGGATCTAAAGGCAAAGGAGCACTGCATGTCCTGGCTAGCAGAGAAAAATTAGGAGATGAGTAAGTCAAATTGTTTCCGAGTTATATTATTGTGGATGATCTTTGATAACACTAACACTTACATCACTATATATGAATTTATATGCTTGAAAACTTTGTTATTAAACATTCTATTTCAGGATACCAACAATAAATCTCTGTAGTGTTTAGTATTATTTTTAAGTTTGAAAAATTGTGTTAATTTTAGTGGATGGTTTGACATGTTACTAGAAGGAGATAAAGTAGGTAATCTATGGAGACTTCTTTTTTTAAATAATTAATACATGAAATTGCTCTTGTCTTAGATGGACAGTTGACCAACTAGATCTAGAAGTGTTCAGCTCAAAGCAGAGATGGAAATTTTATGACAGACAATTAGCCACACCTACCACGTTGTCAATTCACCAGGAGACGCCATCAATATCAACATGAAACATGTTTATGGGAATAATCTGCCTGTGATATGATATGTAGGATTTTGTCACGTGAAATAGTTTGGTGTGTAGCAGCTGCTTAAACTTGAAGTGAATAAAACATTGTCTTTACTGAAAGACAAACTTGAAGTGACTGAACTATTGTCTTTACTGAAAGACAGTAAAAATATGATTCACTTTATCTGCCCTTTGGTACAAATAATGAAAATGAAATAAAAATATATCTCATTTTGTACTTATATGTTTGTCAAGTTTTGTTTAATATTTGAGTGCTAGAGTTAATGATTAAAATTTTGTTTCGGCTATTTAAAGATTTTGATCAATACTCTTAAAAGTGAAAGCATGCCTTTATGTGAGGCCTGCACAACATACCACCAGCACCCACTTTGCGGCCCACGAAGTAACGAAATATTCTTTTCTTAATAGCTTTCCCCCTTTTCTTTTGGCCCGCACAAGTTCTGTCCTAGTTTCTTTTGGTCAGCACAAGTTTTTCACAAAAAAGTATTATGGCCCGCCTTACATTTTGAGTTGTGTAGGCCTGGTTTATGTCATTAAAATAACCCCCTCCCCCTGAAATTACTGATATAGTAAATAACCTTTTAACCAGGCCTGCTTGATTCTCATCATACCAAATATGAATCATTTTTTTTAATTTTTATCAAAAGGAACCGTTTCCCCCACAAAGAAGATGTAAATGTAGTACAATTAAGACACCTTAATATTGTTCTTTGAAAGTTTAATTTTGCCAGCCATCATTCTTACATAAAAAAAAAAGCACTGAAACTGAAGCAAATATTTAACATAAAAAAAAAGCACTGAAACAACTCTAATTTCAACATATTTAATGGGAACCTGTTTTGACACAATTTTGACAACAAAAAATAAAGTTTACTTCAAATTGTAGTTGGAAGAACAAAAGATGCTTTCCATTAAAAACGTTTGCAATTCATTACATGAAATAAGTACAAGCCTACAATTTTTCATTAATTTTTAGACACAAAGGAAGGGAAAAAAAAACAATATTTCTGATTTTTAACATTTATCCATCTTCTCAGAATCTATTATTATTATAATATTTGTTTCTTTTAAAAAAAAAAATGCCTGCTTTAATTCAAATTTAAATAACAGCTAATAATTTTGACCCCTTGTAACAGCTGTTTTCTAAGTTAGAAACTGGACGTAACAATAATGCTGTTATGGAGTAGAAGTGAACTGGATAATACATCTTAGACTTTGTTATAAAATAAAGGCACAACCCTGCAGTAAACATTTTTTTGATCATTGACATGAATGCTTCTGACCATTTCAAAAATGTAAGGCGTCAAAACTGACTGAAACATATTAATTTTAGAGAAATAACAGACTAGATAAACAAAAAATATAATTTTTTTAAAAAGGTATTAGGGTATACGCAGGCAAAGGTAACTCAAAGCTCAATGCTTGTGAAGGAAAATGTATGATTATTTTTGGCAAAAAATAAGTTCAATATTGACCATTAAGAGACATCAAAATATTCTGTAGGCATTAAGTCCTTTTTAATATTCATTCTCGTGTGGATATTTTGTCATCTCCTTACTGACTTGTGTTCTCAAAATTTGACTTTGACATTTGTCTAGTTTTTGACATGTCAAATCCAGTTTTAAAACTGTTCATTTTTTAAACCCCTTTAGCCCTGGGCTATATTTCAAGCTGCTGTTATTTATGTTCAACTTTATGGTCAGTATATTTAATTCCATACACTTTAAAAAAAAAATTTGTAAATTTAAAAAAGCCCCATTTCTTCAATTAAGGATATCATCGATCGCAACGCCTTCTCCTATTTTTGTAACTTAACAACAGGTATTATTTTAAATCCTCAATAAAAATTAATTTATTCGTTCCAATTTGTAATTTATCCTCAAATTCCTTCTACCTTTCCACAAAAAAAAAAACAACAACAAAACCCCCCAAAAAACATTTATTTCAGCTTTAAATTTAAATTTGATTTTGCATGGCAATAGGTGGATGGGCCTACAATTGTTGCAAAAAAATCTTAAGTTTATGCCTCAATATTAATGCCTCATAAAGAAATGTGTATAACAACATAACGGAAAAGACTGGACAATTTGTGTCTAACTGCAAATAAAGCTGCCTCACCCCAAAGCAGAAAAAATATTATTGTGAAATAAGACTTACACTAAATAAAACTGCAGCAACAGTTTACAACAACTAAAACAAACTAATCATGTGTAACAAATAGTCATATGATAGGTACCGTACGTAAGCCTTAAACAAACTGAGGAGAAATTTAAAAACTTTAAACTTGTTGACATTAAAAATTACCATTACAATGTGTTACACGGGGAGCAATATTGTTGGTATTGACATTCAAGTAAAAACTTTAAAATAAAATAAATTAACAAAAGAGAGAGACTACACTGAAACATCGGAGAAGTAAAACCACAACTGTTGTTACTCTTTTGATTTCCACCACCCAAATAACTGCAGCTGGTGCGTTAAATATAAATACAGTTATATAAACACAGCCTTCAAGTTCTAATATAAAAATAATTGAGGTTTTAATATTTATTTTTCTCTCTCACAAACTCAATTTTTTTTTGTGAGAATCAGTCAAATGCTGTCTCTGGACTGACCAAATTTTTAAGGAAATAAATATTTTAAAGAAGACTAAGTTACATTAAAAAAAATAATTTTTAAAACACTTTTGTCTTTAAACTGTACCTATACCAAGTACATTACAAATATCATAAAGCCTTAAAAAAGAAAGGGCTTTTGAAAAATAAAAGCTTTACAATATCGTTATTACATATTAAAATTAAAATTATGACTTTTTTTTTCATTTCTCGTGTATAATTCATTACCACTAGCTTCAGTCATCACATAAAATAACAATCGGTACTTTCAAGAAAGAACAACCTTTTCATGCTTTTAAGTCACACAGACATGTCCATTAAATAGTCAAACCCATCAACACAAAACTTGCCTGAACCACTCTACAGATAAATGTTTTTAGCAGATTAGAGCTAAAAAACTGGCAAATGTTTATTTCAGGATTAACCAAAGCCATATGAATCCTAGTTGTGGGGGACATGCACAACTTCTACTTGGGCTGCTGGATTTTCTGACTTTGCTGAATAGGACGTGGCCTTACATCATGCTGTGGGAGTGGTTTCTCATGGTAACTTTTAATGGCCTGAGGAGTGAAATCCTTGTCACCCTAAAATAAGATACAAATTTTCAAAAAACTTAGCTCTGATTTATGCTGAAAAGTTAATTGATTATAATACTAGCATATGTAAAAAAAAAAAAAATTTAAATCCGCAAATGAAGTTACATGATTTTGATAATGTAATCTTACCTTGGTCAAAGCACCAGACACCAACAATGACTGATGATGTTTGTCAGTCTTGGGAGGGCTGTAACATAAATAGGGTTATTAAGCATGGTGTACAATTTTTAGATACCGTAGCAGGAAATTACAAAAGACAAAATACTTTAGCTAATTTTATACATATGTAAAAAAAAAAAGGAATATAAACATAGAGATTTTGGTTAAAGACAGATAGAGAGAACAATCATTACCAAATAAAGACACACACATAGACCTTTTTATTTATTTTCTAAAACCTGACATAGCTCTCACAAAAGCCAATTGGGTGCTTATATGTTTACTTTTTTTTTAAAGCTGGGATGAACAGTCACTCTATTTGGAGGATATTTAGTTTTAATATACCCTGGCTCTACAAAGCTAATAGTGATACTCCGTTTTAGGTCTGAAAAAGGGGCACAGTTATGAAAGCAAAGAACTTATATTGACCCACAAATGTTTCAGTTTAAGCCTTTATTAATGTTTACATCTTCCATTCAGGGAGACAATCAACATTTACACTCTTACCTGGAACCAAATTCAGCCTCCTCTTCTGGAGTCATAGCGGGGGGTTCTGTCTTATCTCCTTCTTTTTTGTGCTGCACAACACGCATGCCTCCAACCTTAACTGAAAAGGAACAAAATGAAAATATGTTGAAAAATATGAGGGATTTTACTTTTCTTTCAATTATGGGATGGTAAAAATTAACAATAAAATAGGATACACTTCTAGAACTCGAGATGTTTAAAACAATAGATCTGCATGGTTAGGCCTTGTAGAAAATTTACAAAGCAGCCTAATGTCATTGAATTTTGTCTTGGGGGCAATGTGCCATGAGGTCAGGTATATAGAGGGAAGGGGTCACAAATTTGAATGATGTAATTTTCAGGATGTCTAATTTGTGTGAAAATTTGGGATGAAGTTATAGTGTGACATTATTTATGGATGGCTCCTTGCCTTGGGGCTTGGCCCAACTCTAACCAAGTCCAAAAGATGAACTAAATTAAAGAAATTAAGAATACCAAGTCAGCCAAATCACCAGGTCCAAACGAATACAAAGGCAAGCCCCTGCTAATGTTGGTTCAGAGAGCCACTTTGACTTTCAGTGTATGATTCTATCCCTTATTTGATTGTTACTATTAATGTTTATTCCAATCCATCAATTTCCTCTTTCTAAAAAAATTGGCCGATAAAAATTGCGTTGAAAGAGTAAATTTCAGTCCGATATTTGACACAAAATAAAACTACTGCCTTTTAATAATAAATAAACCTCAGTTTTTCGCTCTTCTGTGTTCTTTTTTTTTAAACTCTGGAGTTATTTTTTTCAACGATCTTTATCAAGCAAATTTGTTTAAGTAGATTTTCGCAAAATGGATGAGGCCATAGCTGGACCATCTAGCTTACAAAATAAATCAGGAATCTTTTTGATCATTTTTATTAGTTAATGACTTAAGTGATTCAAAAGATGATTTTCCGATTACACACATAGACAATGATTGTTCCAATTATTTTTCTAGTGGGTCAGAAAGCGAAAGTTTGGATGATTTAGACCTTAGGCCTAGAATGAGTATGCGTTGCAGCAACAACATGACTAGTTCAAAACTATGTTGCAAATGATTTTGTACCAACAAAAATATTTGTAATTTGTTCTGTATGTTTTCTTATATTTCATTTTATGGATTAAATATTTATATAGCAGCTATTTAAATTTTATCTGTTTCATGCTATTTAGTAATGTTTATATTGTTTATGTCACGCTTTGTTACTTGAACGTAATTATAGGTATCGGAAGAATTTAAAAAAAACAACCTATTAAAACTAAATCATTTACAAGTAATACATTTTCTGAAAGATATATAAATATGTTATCATATGGCTTCAAAAATTGTAGTTTGAGGTAATCCAAAATAAAAAGTTTAATCATTTTCTTTATTCTTGGTCACTCCAAGGTCAACGCGTACAAAATGTCATTAAAAAATAGCCAATATGATTTCCCCACTTAGTCTAATTTCAATAAATATATAATTTATGGGGTCTAGCTATATTATTTGCATGTGAAAAATCACCTTTTTCCAAGGCACCCAAAAAGTTCAAAATTCCCCGCACAGTACAGAAATATAACATACACACTTCGAGGATTACCATGCCGATGGAATGTTTTAAATTATAATTTCATTGGGTAGTTAATTATAATATGTAAATTTTCCATCATTTTGATAAGGGGTATTGTATTGATTTATGATTTTATTGTTGGTGGAACCTGCAATAAAGTGTGTGAAAGTGTATTCTGTGAAACCATTAAGTTCTTTTTTCATTATTTAAAAAATATCTTTTTTCTTTTGACACTTCTTGCCACATATCTAGAGAGATAGAATAAAGTTGCTATGTGTGACACGAAATAAATGAATCAGCTGAAATTACACCAGGAAAGGGGGCAGCGTCAAATTGTTAACACTTCCTGCTGCATATCTAGAGTGATACAATAAAGTTTCAACGTTCATCACGAAGTTAATGTACCGGTACCAGATAAAATAATTTCATAAAATGTTAAAGTTTTATCCTATTTTCGTTTCTATCATGGTAAGTAGCTAAAACAGTACATTCTTTTCCCCTCCCCATGTAAGCCGTACTTTTTACTACTTTTTTAGTACACAGCCACTATGTTTTTTAAAACTCTTGTTTGCAATGACCCCTGAGTCCACAAGTCATGGCAACCAAGATGGCAGCCCTTGTAAATGAGTGGCATGCTGATCCAATATTTACCAAAGCCCCTAGTCACAGTTCTAATAAATAATAATAATAATTACTAATCATTAGAAATTAGTCATTAAAATGTACAGGTACAAGAATGATTAGAATTAGAAAATTCTGCCAAGTTAAAGTTAAATGAATCATCATGGTTCATACGAATCATACTATTCATGATTCATAGGGGTCATAGGCTAATTGGCCTAGAGATAATGGTTAATCATAATAATAATAATTCATTAATGTCAATAATGCTACGGCTACGGTGACACAGATGGGGTAAAGGCGTTTTATTTATAATTAAATTACGTTTCATTATTTTATGTTTACAAAATTATTCAAGAGTAGCAAGACCCTTCTTTCATACTTAATTACCATAACAAAAGAGGTAAGATTTGGGGTTGCCCTGATAACAAAGTCAAACATTTTCTTATTTCTGCATATGCTGACTTAATTAATTGTTGCAAGGCAGCCAAGGCCACGAAGGCGCCTTGCTTGCAAAAAGTAGGCGGCCATCTGTCATGGCCATGCCATCTACTTATCTGACGACAGCCGAGTCATACATTTTAGGAAAACACCAATGTCATTTAAATTTGTGAAGTTACTAACCTGCTGGAGGATGCCCAGCTTTTAAGTCAACAGCTGCAGCTTCTTCTGCCATTGTGCAAAACTGTAACAATCGTTTGAATAATAAAATATATAGACCTGAAAATATCGTATGCTTTGTTGCACGAAGTTTGCCAACACAATATGTGTACTACGTCACCAATCATGTTGTTGTTTATTTAGGTTGAAAGGTCAAGTTTAGTCTAAATTTATCCCCTTACGTAGGGTTTCGAGAGAATAATAATACGGAGTGGCTACAGGTACCCGGGTATCTATAGCAGCAATTAGCTATTCGGACCCGGCTGGTCACGTGAGGGTTTTATAATTATTCGGTTGGTCACGTGATGGTTATGACGGATTTTTCCTGTTGGTTGGCCATCTTAGAGCCATTGGCCATTACTATCAATCGAGACATGTGGCATATTTTAAGACCTTTATAAACCGTTAGCGTTGAAGAAATACAAAAAACAGTGTGACGTAAAGCTGAAAGCAAGTAAGAATACGTTTATGTTTATAATTTTATTGTATTTTTTTAACTCTATGTTAAATATAGTTCTAAAGGTAATCTACCACTTGAGCGTCGGCCAAGAAAAAATCCAGCACCCACGTCTTTTCAATTTTGCTCTAATAAGCCACATTCTTTGTGCACTGTAAAATAGCACTTTTTCAACAATCTAATCGATTTT